AAATGTGATTTTACTATAAAGAACAATACTGTATAACAGGGCTGTCCAACTGGCGGCCCGCGGGCCGTATACGGCCCGCCAAATAATTTTTACGGCCCCCGAGTACATTTTACTATGAATAAATTTATGTTACTAAATTATTATTATTAATATTAAAATTATTTTACTATGTGAAAATTTAAATCTAATTTGAATTTAAAGTAGGTACTATTTAGTTTGCGTAACTTCACTTAACCTGGCTGAATACAGCAGCAATCCGTTTAACATCTGATGATGGTTGGCTCAACGTTGGCGCCACATATTATATTTGTGGTTAGCGCACGTGATGCGCACACTACCCTGCGCTATTTGGTTGATTCATGCAATCATGCGAGTGCAGTCTTGTCTAGAATTTGTTGAGGGGTGACTGTGTTATATTATTATTAACTTAAATTCATATTTATTTATTAATTAAAATAATTATTGAATATGAGTGCTACTAATAAAAGAAAAATAGACCTCGAAAATCGAGAATTTCGAGATTGCTGGGAGATAGATTATTTATTTATTCTGAACCAGAATGGTAAACCACAGTGTTTGGAATGTTTACAAATCATAGCTGTGTGTAAAGAATATAACTTGAAGCGCCATTATCTTTCCATACATGAAAAAAAGTATCATTCGTACACACAAGACATGAAAATACCATTAGTGAAAAAAAAATGAAAAAGCAGCTGGATCATCAAACAAATTATTTTAATCAAGAACCAAAATTTCAAGAAGCATCTGTAGCTGCATTGTTTGAAGTTTGTTTAGAAATAGTAAAGGCAAAAAGCCATTTTTGGATGGAGAATTTATTAAAAAATGTGCCATAAAAATGGCTCAAGCATTTAATGACAACGAAATGGTAAGAAAATTTCAAACAGTATCACTTTCTCACCAGACTGTAAGCCGACGTGTAAATGAGATTAGCATGCATGTCACTAATAAATTAGAAAACCTAATCAATAGTTGCTGCTATTTTTCGGTAGCATTGGATGAAAGCACAGACATTTCCTATACAAGTCAAATGCTTATCTTTATAAGAACTGTAAATGAAAACTATAATTATTCAGAAGAACTTTTAAAATTACAATCATTACGGAACAACAAAAGGTGAAGATATTTACAAACAATTAAAATGTGCAGTAGAGCAGTATGGCAGATTTGACAAGTGCACTGCTATTGTAACTGACGGTGCTAGAGCTATGACAGGCAAAAATATCGGGCTCGCGGGACTTTTGCAAAAAGAAGGAATAACATGTTGTATGTTACACTGTATTATCCATCAGGAGGCATTATGTGGTTTATCCCTACAACTAAACGTAATGGACAAGGTTTGCAAAATTACTAATTTAATTCGCGGCGTAAATCGTTCTCTTACACACCGAAAATTTAAAACATTTTGGATGAATTGGAAACTGAGTATGGAAATCTGCTTTTACATAATAACATTCGTTGGTTAAGTACTGGAAAGTGCTTGAGGAGATTCTTTACACTTCGAAAAGAAGTTCATCTTTTTCTCACAGAAATTGCTGTCGATGAAAATTTGAAAGCAAATTTAGTTGATAAAAATTTTATTTATTCACTTGCTTTCCTAATGGACATTACAAATTATTTAAATATTTTGAATAAATCCTTGCAAGGACAAGATCAAAATGTATGTTGCCTTTATAAATATGTTATTGGATTTAGAAACAAATTAAAATTGTTAAGGTTTAATTTGAAGCAGAATATTTCATTTTGAATCTTGCAAAGAGATCTATGAAGAAATGAAAGAATGTAATATAGAAGCGAATTTTAAAATATTTCTACCAAAATTGGATATGCTAATTACAGATTTCAATGAAAGATTTTCTCAATTTGATGATCTTAAACCGTCTATTGATTTATTTTGTGATCCAATTAATATTGATATCAACTCCGTTGATCTTAAATATCAAATAGAATTATGCGACCTGCAGGCTGACCCATTTTTTACATCTCGTGGAGTAACTGGAATAGAAATATTCAAATTTTTAGATAAAGAGA